AGAAATTATTAAAAAAAGATTGATCACCCAGAAATTCATTCGTAATAAAATGACGACATCTCTTACCACTTCACTATGCCTTGTATACCTCAGAGACCTCGGTATTGCAATACCCATGCGAGTACTTTCTTCCTGTTAAGCATTAGTTACCAACCATTCGATCAGATATGATAGCAACGTAAATAAAAACCTTGATGACAAATCACATTTTAGCATAAAATAATGATGCAGATGAAAATCCAATTGCAGTTGCAACATGTATGAGGTATTATTACACTGCGTTGGCATCTGCGGGGCAATGATATATCACGCCTAACTCTAAACGCTGATAACGAACTAGGCTTCATCAGATTGGCCAATTTTTCAAATTACGTAGTAGAGAATTATTACGGTGCCTGTTGATAAAAGATTTTATCCTAATTGAGAAATTTGTTGTTCATACTCGTACTTACGTTGCATTTTAGCATGGACGATAAATATCAACTATTTTGATAATTATTACTAGGTATCAATGTTGCATTATTACACACCTTCAAGTCAAGTTAGCAATCTGAAATTCTGGGTGATCTTACTTGTATATAGGCGTATGCAGGAGTTTTTTTAAAGGGGGGCTGGTTATACGTCGGCAAATTTTCTCATAGAGGTCGAGTCTTAAAAGTTCTCAAATTGCATACAAAACCAAATTAAATATGTAAATTTTCAGGGCCAGCCGAATTCTCAAGGGGGACACTCCACTCCCCCCCCCCTGATCTCCTGCAAGTGTCTATGGAGATTAAGTTGATGCACGGAAATCGATAATAAGAAGAAATATTAATTTACCAGGGGGTGGCGATTTGAAAAAAAGATGTACGTTGTTTAGTATCTTACGCTGAGAAAGATCGGCGCGGTCAGCTCTTAACTTGGTTGATCTTACGCTTTAGTTATACAGGGTGGCCAATATATAACTGACTGATTTAAGTTGCGCGTCATTTTTGGTATGCGCATTACAGTAGCCGCTTAAATCACATGTGTCCAATTCATCAAGGAGCGCTACACTATCCCACAACGCGTCCGTGTTGATAAAACGTTTTACTTTAATAATGAGTCGACTGCTGCAACGATTCGGAAGCTACGACGAGATTTCGGTCAAAATAATGAGCCCAGTGTCAACACCGTTCGTCATTTGGTGCGGAGATTTTAACAAACATGTGAAGTTGAAGACTTACCAAGGTCGGGCCGTGTTCGAACCGTTCGTACTCCGGAAAAAATCGATAGAGTTCGTTAAAGTGTAGTGGAGCGCCCGGGGACGTCTCCTAGACACTGTTCTCAAGAATTTGGTGATGACAACTGGCCATCAAGGTCACCGGATTTATTGGCTCGTGACTGTTTTATGGGGATTTTTGAAAAATAGGGTTTTGGCCAACAAACCAAAGATTGTGGAGCAGCTGAAGAACAATATCATGGAAGCGATTGAAAAAATTCCTCCCGAAACTTACCAAGAAGTGATGTAAAATGTAAACCAGGGAGCTCAGGTTCATACATAATTTCGAAGTTTCAACAAAAGCTTAAGATGAAAAAAATGGACGTATTTAATTTAATTTCACAAATATTCAAGGTACAAACCAGTCAAGTACGTATCAGCTACCCTGTATATTTAATATTTGAAACTGTTCAGAAGAATTTTCAAAAGCAATGCCCTTATCAATTTGAAACACTGTTCAGCACACTTCATTCCGGGGATATTCAAGAAAAAGTATGTCACTCGGTTGGGGTAAAGTGGAGTTGAACTACGTGGCTACGGGGCTAAGCAACTCATCATTGAGAGTTAAAGAATACCCGTTAATTGAGAATGTAAGATAAAAAAAAATTGAAACGATTACTTAAGAAAAGACTGGATTGCTTAGTTGAGATATTGTGTTATAGTTGAGATCACGTGTCACTGCTCGAAAACGGCGTGCATCCACGACGTGGCGTTCCGGACGACTGAGCGGGGGTCGGAGAGTAACAGTGATGCCACCGGTCAGTAAAGGAATTATGGTACGATGTTGCCAGAATTATCAATATTTCTTCAAAATTATGTTACAAATAGTGTTCCTTTAAGACAAAAAATACACATAATTAATATAGGTTCTTTAATGTAAAAATCTCATAAAAAAATGGAACATTTGGGAAAATCAAACAAACTCTCGAAAAATACCTAACTCTAAAACATAAAAAACATTATTCAGGTTCAAAATGAATATCAGCAGTTTCATTTTCATCTTGAGCGACATGTTTATAGGATGTTATTCTATTAATCATATTTTGAGTAACATTAAACTTATAACATTCACGATTTACAGTTTGAGATGCCAATAAAAGTGAATTTACTGAATCACTGTACAAGCGATTTCGGACATCTGTTTTGATTAAATTAACTTTTGAAAACATTCTTTCGCATGCGGCATTTGAATGAGGAATTACTAATAAATCTAATACAAAATTTCCCAATTCTTTAAATACGTAAACATCAGACATGTCGTGAATTTGGGAGATTTTGTACCAGTATTTATCGATTGATGTATCATCCTTTATTATTTCATCACTGAAATTTGGTTCTGACTGGCAATACATCCGCCACTGATCATCAATTTTTTGTATTTGTTCAATATCTTGAGGATCTACAATTCTGGGTAGTAACTTAAATAATGGAAAAAGCGATGCTGGTTTTGGTTTAGAATACCCTTTTTTAAATACTGATATTTTTGGCAAAATATTTTCATTAAAATCAAACCGTTTTTTCATTTCATTTGCAGAAGTTATTAAAAATTGACGGCGCCGCATGTATAAATCTTCTTTTTCCTTTCGACTTAATTTATCAATGTTCTGAAGTACGCGAACACCAAGGTATATCTGTTTCAAGTCAATGAACTAGCATTGTTGGGATCGATTTTACCTATTTCGGTTTTATGAATATAATTTGGTTGTAAATAGCTTAAACAAATTTCTTTATAAGTTTCACAAACTACATCATAAACGTGTGCAATTATGACACGCTCACTTTGAAAGTATTCATTTAATTTTACAAATTTTGGTAAAATCCGATGAAGAAAAAAGAAAAAAGTTTTATTTCCATATCATTAAGTCTATTGGCAACAACTTCTGAAGCTTGCAGTCTACGTTCGGTCCATTCTTTAACAAAATATAATTGAAGGGGATTACATTGCTCAATTATCCTTTCCACTACCATAAGTAATGAAAGCCACCTAGTTTGTGAAGGACGTAAAATTCTGTGAGGCTCCACATTACAAAATGTCTGAAACTCTGTAAATTGTGCTTGCCGTTTGGAGCTATTTTTGAAGTAACCAAAAATATTCCTGGCTAAATCTTCACAATGACGGGGCAAAACTTTACAAGCCTCACTGGCACAAAGATGTAAATAGTGGCAGATGCATTTTTGAACTATAATGCCAGGAAGATTTAGTTTTAACCTACGTACTGAGTTATTGGCACCAAACATAGTGTTACAACCATCAGAACCAAATTCTATAATATTTTGGAAAGGTATATTGTTAGACTCAAATAAATCCATAATTTTTTTATAAAGAACTTCTGCAGTCGCCCCTGTATTTGCTTCATCTGGATTTTGATTTGAAAAACATTGAACCAAATTTAAAAATTTTGTAGTTACCTCATTTGCTTTTTCACTAAAGTACCTAACACATACACATATATTTTTTACTACACCTATGTCTGTAGATTCATCTACTAAAATGCTAAACTTTTTTGCTTTTAGTTCATTGATTAGTTCTTCAAAATGAGATTTGGCTAAAACATGTTTTATAACACCTGTTGCTTTGGTTCTTTCCATCTGCATTCCTTGGGCAATTTTCGAGTCAGGAAATATGTCTTTTAATAAAGGAATCAGATGATCACACAGCTTAATGGGTAGATTATGCTCTGATATTAATGCAGCAATTTTTATTTCTGCTCTACTCACTTGACCACTAGCTTCGTTTTTATTAGAAAACATAGTAGAAATTTTTGGTTGATTTTTCACAATCACCTTTACATTTTTTAAATGTTTAGCTCCCTTACTGTGATTTTTCAATACAGTTAAATTTGCTTGAATTTCACTATCACAAGCAATACATTTTGCTCGAGTGGGCTTTTCTAAAAACAAAAATGCATATCATTAAAAGTATAAAATGGTTTTATGTTATTTTTTCTACCTTTAACAGCTTTCAACCATCCTTTGAAATGAGGATTGCTTTCCCATTCACATCTATATTTTTGTGGTCTATTTTCTCGTCTGTTTACGTTTTTAAGCTTTAATCTTTTTGCCTCCCTTTCTGAATCCGAAGAATCGGAGTAATCATGATGATCCCCTTTGCTGGTACTGGCCATTTTATTTCACTATTTGATCACATCAACACACATTAATAAGGACTCATACGATCAACTACTCTTGCTCGTATTGAAAAAGAAACAATGAGGATTAGGGTATTCCCCTGCGTAGGCTCAAATTCACCGAGACTCGAGTTCCGTAATATTTACATAGATGGCGGTAGGCTTGATTTTTATTCTAATTCCATAATAACCATGCTATTAACTGAAAGAGGTCAGCACTAATAATTATTATCCTTTTTGTTACGTTGCTTTGGTTGCATACAATTAGAACCAATAATTTTGAAAACATAGTTATAGGCTGGGAGATGGAAAAATAATATGTTACAATTATCGATTATGTTACATCTTTTTATTTACTGTATATTTCAGTAGAAAATATGGTACAATTTGATAATTATGTTATAAGTGGCAACACTGGAGAGTAATGCGCGGCTGGGCCGGGATGACGTAATACTCATATCGTTGACGAGTTTTTGGCGGTTAGTCTACCTACCCCTATAGTCAACCATCCCTGGTCTCCCCTACCTGCAGAACAAAGAATCATGGAACCTTTGCCTTTGCACACTACGTCGCACGGTAAGCGTATCGTAATACGCCCATTGGGCGGGAGCAAAATGAGCTTGTATGTGTGCCAACAAGTCCGCACACGAAGCGATGTTGCAGCGAAGCGTATGAGCTGTTCAGTCGTATTACGATCGTGGTAGCGGTCTGGTGTAAGGCAGGCGTAGGAGGAAGCGTAAAATTCAAAAGTTTTGTTTAATTGTTCTCGATATGGCTGAAAAAGTTGTAGAATTCGTAAAGCTGGTTGAAGCGTTTCCTTGTTTATATAACCATTCATTAAGTGATTATTCAAGGAAAGATGTCACGGACAAAGGTTGGGCAGATATAGCGTCGAAAATGAACTGGACGGGTAAGTAATCCAATATATTTTAATTTTATATACGAAAAATTTGCCATGGAAGAGAACTACTGGATTTCAAACTCTAATCTGCCAAAAAATCACGAAGTTGGTTTGGTGGTGAAGTTCTATCAACGCGAAGCTCTTCATGATACCCTAGAATAATTTGTAGGTTACACGCAGCGTTGTTACGGTCTTCAGTTGAGTTGAATTCGTAATCAACTCCTTCATGATTTCAGATAAAATTGTGAAGTACGCACATACATTTGATTTTATTGCTGATAGTTTCATAACTTTGGCATCTAATACGCGTCAACAATAGTGAAAATTTCTGGGTCATCATTCCAAAACCACACTCTACGATTTTCCTTCCACGACTGAGTCTGTAGTTGAATATTCTTTTTGTGTTATATTCTATCTAAAAAAATTACAAGATGCCAAATCTGATCCAAGAAAACTGTGGTCAGTTGTCGATCACTTAACTAACAAAGACGTTCAAGAAAAGCCAAATATTGATGAAATTAAGAATCGTGATGGAACAATATTAACAGATAAACGACAAATATCCGATGCATTCTTAAATTCTTTCATTAATGTTGGAGAAAATTTAGCATCCAGTATTAAAAAAATGGTTTCGAACGAAAAGTTCACAAAAACCCAACTTCCCAATTCATTCTTTTTAGAAAGCATTAGTCCGATTGAAGTACAAGAAGCTGTCCTATCACTTAAAACCAAAAAAAGTCCTGGTGTAGATGGTATCAAAGTCTGACCATTTAAAAATAATAGCCTACGACTTAGCCGAACCACTTTCTTACGTCATTAATTGGTGTTTCCAATCTGGAATTTGTCCTGATGCATTTAAAACAACTGTTATTCGTCCTGTTTATAAAAGCGGTGACAGAATAGAAACATCAAATTATAGACCCATATCAGTACTATCGAATATAGCCAAAATTTTCGAAAAATTACTACAAAAAAGGATATTACAATTTTTGGACAAAAACAAAATTATATGTTCTGACCAATATGGATTTAGAAAAGGAAAATCTACTACAGATGCAATTTTGGCTGCAATGGATGAAATTAACTCTAATGTCAACAAAAAGATACCTACTATTGGTATTTTTGTTTATCTAAAAAATGCCTTTGATACGGTTAACCATGTCGAGCTTCTGAAAGTTATGGAAAGATTGGGATTTAGGGGAGCGTCACAAATCCTTTTAAAAAATTACCTTTCAAGTCGGGCACAGACTGTCAAAATCACTAACACTTACAGTAAAAAAATGTACATCAAATGTGGTGTGCCTCAAGGAACAGTACTAGGCCCACTATTATTTAGTCTCTACTTAAATGACTTATTCAAAATTAACAGTTCTGGAAAGATTATATGTTTTGCAGATCGTATTATATAAAGCTGATGACTGGAGCACACTGAAGCAAATAGCTGAAAATGATTTTATAAGGATCATTGACTGGTTTGATACTAAAATTTTAGCAGTTAACTTCAAAAAAACAAAATTTATTGCATTTACATCCTATTCAAAATTTTTACCTACCTTTGAACAAATTTCCGTTAATTATCATGGCCAAAAGACCAAAAAAAAATTAGAAATGTTGCCTATAAACTCAAAATGCTTGCTAACATTCTTACAGAAAGTTATCTGCGGATCCTATACCATGCCTTAGTTGAAACCCATATAATATACGGCATCACAGCCTGGGGTGCCGCCTGACCTGAATATAGCACAAAAAACTGTTTTGAAAGCCATTTTCCATAAGCCAAGATTATATCCAACGAACAACTTATATCAAGAAACAGGGATACTTGATACAAGACAACTTTATTTCTTACATGCCACCACCGTATACCATAAGTATTGTAATAAAAAGAAAAAATCCTATAAACACGAGCATAACACACGATTTCGAATAGGCTCATCTAATATCCAAAGACCACACAAAACATTATTCAAAAAATCATTTAAATCCTTAGCAGCTAAATTATATAATGTAGTACCAAACGAAATAAAGATAGGTACTTAATTTTGGAAAAAAATTTAGAAGAAAATTGAAAGGCTGGGTTAGTAATGTGCAGCGAATGACTACATAATTATATAGAAAACTAAAACTACAAAATTCCAATCACATAAATACCTTTTAGATTTAACAATAATTGTTATACACATATATGATTGATTGTTAGTTATTAAGATATAAACCACATACAGGCGATGCCTTCTGTGTTTTTTTCATATTTATTTGCCCATTTTTTGTATTTTGGCGAATAAATATTATTATCATTATTATTATTATTATTATATATATTACGTACTGGATATGGTCTTAATATATTTCTTTTCAAAAGAAATGCATTGTGGGCTACAAAAAAATAAGCAAAAGTAGAACCATTATTATCGTGAGGTAAAGCACAATCATCAGGAAAAGTATTATTATTTTACATCCACTGCCTCATGCGTCCTGCCTAGAATATTCCACTATCACTACTATGACCAGGGTATCCAGTTTCTGTGAATATGAACTAGCCTGCATCTGCCCAGCCCATTAAAATAATTGACTGATATCCTTTGCAATGAGGATCCAGAATTTGGGCATTACGTATGAGCTTGCCGTCGATAGCACCAAGACAATGAGGTAGTTGCCATAATTCCAGTTATCGATTAGCGACTTCTCTCCATTTCTCAATTGTGGTTACCCTCATAAATACCTTTAAATTTATCCCACATAATTTGGGTAGTTTCAGTTACTACTTGAGAAACCATTGTATCGCCTCGAGCGACATATACTAAGTGACATATAAATCCACCCAGTTTAAATAGTTTTATTTTAATAAAATTTTGTATAAGTACTTAATGAAGCATAATAAGTAAATGATAAAAATTTAAAAATGATTGTACTGCTTTAAAGCCCTTTGACCTTTAATAATGTGTGGATGCACCCTGATGTGCTACGCATTCTCCAACGCGCCTAGGCATGCTTCTGATCAGGTGGTCAATGTCCTCCTGTGGTATCTCATTCCAGGCAACCACCAACTCCTCTCGAAGTGCTTCTAGAGTCTGAGGAGGACGTTGCAAATTGAGCAATCTCCTACCCATCATATCCCACACGTGCTCAATTGGGGATAAGTCGGGAGATCTTGGTGGCCATGGTAACAATGTAACATCATTATGTTGAAAGAAGTCTATTGTGACTCTTGCAACATGTGGTCGGGCATTATCTTGTTGGAAAGTTGGATCTGCCAGGGTGTCAAGATAGGGTAAAAGATGGGGTTCTAGAACTTCGTGGATATAATGCTGCGCGTTCATGTTACCTCTGATGAAGATTAAAGGTGACCTGGAACCATAAGCTATAGCACCCCAAACCATAACTCCAACAGTGTGATGAACATGTCTTTCAACAAAAAACTGTGGATTCCTCCTTTCACCACGTCGCCTTCAAACCCTGGCACGACCATCTTGCATGCCTAAATAAAATCGAGACTCGTCACTAAAGACAATGCTGTTCTATTCCTGATCCCAGAGTGATCGCTGTGTACCACTCAAGGCGATTACGTCGGTGTTCTCGAGTTAAAGGGAGGACCCAGTGTGGCCGGTATGAAAACAAGCCAAAACTTCTCATTCGTCGGTAAACAGTTCGCATGCCAATAGGTCTTCCGTGTTCTGCAAACCATTCATTTGCAATGGACCTGGTAGTGGAGAAACGGTCCCTTAAGGCCAATAATCTTAGACGGCGATCTTCACGGTATGTTGTTCTACGGCGGCGTCCAGTGCCTTTTGCTCTTTGCGTACGGCCTTCTCGAAGCCATGCCTGACAACACCTAACCACAGTGTCTACACTTCTTTGCACTCTAACTGCAATTTCCCGAAAAGAAAGTCCAGCTTCCCGAAGTCCCACTATACGGCCGCTATCAAACTCACTAAGTTGACGGAATCTTACAGGTCTCCGTACTCTAGGCATCGTAACTGATCGTAAAGGATGTCAAGAACCAAAATCCTCCAACGTTGATTCTTTACTGCGGCTGAAATATTCATTTTTAGAGCGTTAGTGAATTAAAAAAAAGCAGTATAAAAACCGGAATGTCCAACTGATAAGGCTGAAAATTTGTTCACTTGTTATTTACAGTAAGATAAATACATTCACCAACTTTTGTTAAAATAAAACCATTTAAACTGGGTGTTCGGATTTATATGTCACTTAGTATATAAACTCAAAGCGGAAAAAGTGTTACCAGTTGCCAGATACATGAAACAATGTTAAAATACTTTTAATAATATAAACTTTACAGTCGATGTCATCTTAAATCGAAAAATAACATGAAACATCAACGACTGATGCGGTGTGTAGTTTTTGCAATACAAAGCACTATTTTCTGTATGTTCCTTTTATCCCACCTAGCCTACTTCTAAATTATACTTTTTTCTAGTTCCAGAATGCAAGGAAAAGTGGCGCAATGTGAGAAACGGCTTCGTTAAAAGTCTGAAAATGCTACCTAGTGGCTCAGCAGCGAAATCCAGGAAGCCGTATTACTTATACGATGAGATGCAATTTGTGATTCCATTTCTTAAACCAACCAATAATGAGAAAGACCCTGGAAATATTCCTCTATGCTATAGTTCTCAATCTACTGCCAATAGCCCTAACGCAGTGGATACTCAGAGTACGCTAATAAACGATGTGGAAACTCAACATTCACCAACAAACGAAGAGCTTTTAGATGCAACACAGCCGCCTAAAAAGAAAGCCAGACCTTCCAATAATGATGTCAACAGCACTTTTGTGGAGTATATCTCAGCGAAAAAGAAACATCTGGAGAAATCTATGCAAAGGGCTGACACAGAAAATCCTCGCAGGATGTTTCTGTTGAGTTTACTTCCAGACATCGAGAACTTAAGTAATGATAATATGAGGTTGCTGAAAATTGACATGATGTCACTCATACACAAATATCACATAGCTGAGCAAAACCAACAATCACCTGCAACTGCCGCATATGCTCAAGTTCAACCCCGAAGTAGCTCAGACATTTACCAGCAGCCATGTCAACAACCAAACACTCAAATTTTATCTATGCGACCTAATCAATAACCAATCTCTTCAGCTAGACTTAAATGTACATGTGCACATGTATAATTAAGAATAAATAAATGAATATTGTTTACTTACCCTAAAGTTATCATGATTTTTCTTCTGCTGGTACAGCCTCTCGCATTTTTGTATCTTTTTTCAAGGTGTGGTCCTAAAATGTTTAGAAGAATTTTAAATGTCTCCTTCCTCATTCGATAAAAACAGCAGCCCTGCCCATCAGTGAGAGCACAACATTCTTGGGACTACACCTGGATGAGTGCCTCAATTTTAAAAGACATTGCGACTACCTGTTAGCTAAGCTTAGCTCGCTGGCCTACCTATTTAAAAATCTGAGAACAGTTTTTACACGCGAACAGTTATTGATGTTATATCATAGTCATATCGAGTCGCGAATGCGGTATGCATTGTGTTTCTGGGGTTCCTCGGTGAATGCTTCGAAGTCAAAAGACGGTGCATACCAGGTGTTGACAGTATACACCTTCGGAAAAACCATTATTATACATTATGATGAGGAAGATGAGGTGCGTGAAAGACACTCGATTGTAGGATCCTATCTGGCAGCGTCGGAGTGTGACGGACAACGGGGTAAAGTAGAAGAGTGATAAAAGAGAGATGGCAGAACGAGCGCTGGCGCCTGCCGCTTAGACGGATGCGCTCAACAAATGCGATTTGTTTCTCCCATTCGCAGAGTTGCCGATACCAATATGTCATATATCTAAGAAATCTAAGTCTACCCAAATTTCGGAAAAAATAGCTGCGGATTCCACATAAGAGTATTCCAAAAATCAAAAAAGTTCAAACTATTAAAATTGTATTAATGTTTCATGGTTCAAATCATATTTTTCATGTTTGTATATTGTTGTATAAATGATTTTGTAATCCCTATTCTTGTTGCCAGTAGAGATACAACAGTATTGAGAGAAATCATAGACCGCTAGATACGGCTACAACTACCATATGACTATCAAATAGTAGTGATAAACAGGGTTTGTTTATAGCACAGTTGCCTGGTGTGGCGAATTTGCGCCATAGGGGCGATTTGACAACTTTGAAGGACAACTATAACGGGTACTATGGTGCCTGGTATTCGGGAATCTGGCAATACCTGATGATTCCTAACGTTTATTACGCCAGATTGTTTGCTGACTTGCGCAGTACAACATGACAATCAACGTGACTGAGCACCTGGTAACCCTGGTTTAAGGTGTTATATTTAAAGAGCTTGGGGCAGTTAGTTTTCAGGTCACATTTTTTAATGTATTTCGAGAAATCCGTAACGTTGAGTAAATACTAGATCACGTTTCTTGCTTAGTTTGCTGAAAATTCTACAATAGACGTACATTTTGAGAAACAGTGATTTGGTGACGACAAAATCGTAAAAATATAACGCATTTTCGTAAAATAATTTCTTTGTTGAAAAGACTGTGGCTTGATGACCCATTGAACGAGTATAGTGTCCCGCTCCGCTTTGAATATTCGAAACACTATACTCCAGCAGCATTCAGCTTCAATGTTATCTTTATGAAGTTCTAGCGTCTAGGCCATGCTGATTAAAAGCTTGAATGAATCAACACTTAACTCTAAATTCCCCACAATTCGGGAAGCTCTACTCAAATTGGCAACACAGCGTATCTGCCTATTATTCTCATTCATGATACAGGTTTGCGGTCTGCTGCAAATTTCAGTATGCGTTGAGTCGACAGAAGAAGTACAGTAGATGCGCGCATTACGCACCAGTTCGATTGGTCGTCCTGTGAACGGATTTCGGTGATTTCGAGATTTCACGAAATCACCTAAATCACTCTACTTATTTTTATGAATGGATAATTGGTTTTGTAGCAATAAAGGTTACGTCTCATAACAAAAATAAGAAGATACCCACTCTAACAAAAAATAGTACACTCTTAAAAATGTGTAACGAAAATAAAAAGATATTCTAACAAAAAAATAAGTTCTCAAAAATAAAACGCAATAATGAACACAAATGTTTCAAATGGTCCTTCACAGCTGGGGCTCAAAAACGTCTCCTTCATCCAATGAACAGTATGTCAGGCGGTTATAAAACTCCTGACGAACTCACAAGAGGGTAGAAGGCTGTATTTGCCCTAGCACTTCAACGATTTTCACCTGTAGGTTATGCAAATTGTCTGCTCTCTCATTGAAAGTGTAAACAGTACTTTTCACATAACCCCACAAGAAAAAATCATTGGGCGCTAAATCGGGTGATCTAGGAGGCCATTTTATTGTTCCGTTACCGCCAATAATCCGGTGGCCGAACACACGTTCAAGGTAAGTGTGTACGATCGCCGCATTATGCGCCGTGCATCCATCTTGTTGGAACCAAATATTAGCGAGATCAATGCCAAGCTGCCTAATTGCAGGAACAATCTGCGTCTGTAGTGACGCCAAACATTTTGCAGCCGTAAGAGTTCCATCAATAAAGAACGGTCCGATAATGTTATTACCTAGAATTTCTGCTCACACATTCAGTTTCTGTGGATACTGCGTGCGGACGGGAATACTGAGGTGTTTATTTTCCCGAGACCAATACCGAACGACTGAAGGTTGTGATGACCGTGGAGAGGGAATGTGGATTCATCACTAAACAAAATGTTACCAATAAAACTTCCATCCCTGTTCGGCTTCTCCACGACCGTTTCACAAAACTCCATTCGACGGTATTTGTCTAAAGGAAATATTTCTTGAACCGTTCCAACCTTGAAGCTATGATAGCCGTTGCGATGCAAAATATTTCTTGTTGTTCTGGGTGTGAGATCGGCTATTGGTACCATTTCAACAATTTTTCTGCTTGAGCATTGTTCAGATACTTCTGCAGCGGCAGAAACAGCAGTTTCGATCTCCTCCCTTTTCTCGCTAATTTTTGGTTTCCAACCTTCAGGGTGCATGCAGCTATGACACTTATGTAAGCAGCCCACCCTCTTGAATTTTTCGTAGGTATTTATAACCGTTGCGTGAGACGGAATTGGCCGATCTGGGAAGCGTACCGCAAATAATTCAACAACCGCGCGTGCTGAATTATTCTGGATGTACCATTCTATCATTTGAAACTTTTCTTCTTGCGAGTACATTTTTAAGATATTTTGGATTAAATAAAGACGCACCTTTCCTACATAAAACCCAACCGCAGAGTGAGTCATGAATCCCTTATCGCACTTGACGACGGCACGCGTGTTAACGGTAGGAAATATGTACGAATAGCGATAAAAGTAGACGAGCCGATGCGCTGTTGCCAAGAAATGATTTCCCATGTATAACAATGGTTTTTCCTAAGGTGTATACAGTTGCAGAGACTTGTTCCCGAAATTAAAAATTCTAACACTGCCCTCGTTGTTTCTTTAGGAAATGGCAATATATACATGTATTAACGGAGATAATTTCGCCTTGAATAGTAATATACATACATTCAATACTCGTAGGCAGCACGACATTCATCTACCCTTTGCTCGACGTAAGCTGGGTAGTAGATCTCCATCTATTTTAGGACCAAAGATATTCAATAAGCTGCCTGAGTATAATAAGACAATTAGCTCCTTAAATAATTTTAAAGCTGAGTTAAGAACCTATTTTATTAATGAGACTTATTACGCCATCAGTGACTGTGGATATTTAGATGTTCTTTTCTTGTATTGTTTGTTATCCACTTATTGTTTGTCCTTTTATATATTTTTATATTGTATTTCTGTTAATTTATTAATTTTAACTGCTGGAAAGCTTATCTATTTTATCTGCTGTTGTTAGCCTATGGTGTTCATTTTAAAATATCTAATTTAAGCTATTGTTTATTGTTGCTTGTCATTTCATTGTTTGTTTTTTATGTATATACATACTGTAAATTGTTTATTGACGAACCCTATACACGTTTTATACATGTCTAATGGGTAATAAATATTATTGTTATTATTATTATTATTATCATCTTCTGAAGGTTCACGTGCAGCAATAAACAATCTTTTCTTCTTATTATTTGCGATGGATTCAGTGAGCACGTCTCTTTCTACTTCTAGCATAATCAAACAATAAAAAATCCTCTTCGTCTTAAGAAAATGTAAGAACATCATTGCGTACACCAGAAACATCTAGTACCGTTGATGCCATGATTTCAACTGAGATCTAACAAAACGATGCGCGTCTGCTGTAGTGAAAAAATCAAACACAGCGTCTAAAATGAAAGAGTAGATGAATGAGGACAATTGACAAAACGTCACACTGAACCTCTATAAGGCCACCTCATAGAATAGAAGAGTAGAGCCAGATCAAATAATAGCGTTATTGGGAAATATGCTTTTTTTCGTCTTTCTCCGAAAATGCTCGAGATTGCAAAACTTTCTAAAAAATTTGCAAATTTGCCCCTATCGGCTAATACAAAAAAATGGCCATTAAATTCTTTATATGCCTCATTTTCATTAGATTGCCTAATCCTAGAATTTTTTCGAAATTAATTTTCTTGTTGTATCGTTAGTTTATTGCTTCCTTATGATAGGGCTGGAGCATTTGTCGCCATCTTGATAAGCGCGCTTGACCGAAAATCGATCCAATGTAAAAAACTTTTTGCAGGAAATTAAGTTCTTTACTATTTTGCTTCTATAAAAATTTGTCAACAGCTTATGAGAAAAAGGGTACAGGTATACTTTATCTGAAGTCACTTGAAATAGCATAAAAACCTTTGGTCGGCGCGTCCTTTGTAATTTCAAGACGTATCATAGGCGTGCGGTCATTTATTTAGAACGATAATAATAATGTTTTTATATCACAATAAATGGATTTTACTATCTTCTTATTTCTTTGATTTGGGATAAAAAATACTTATATTGGGAGTTTAATTTATGTTGACTGAAAGTTAAGAAATGGAAAAATTACAGAATTCCAACGCTTGACATAGGCAAATATTTACATAGCAGGTAGGTATATAAAAAGGTATATAAAGACTTACATTATAGGTATTTATATATCATCCTCGCCTTCGGAGCTGTCGCTAGAGTCATCTTGTAGAGGAATTACAACGGGATTTACAGGAGGCAAAACACAATATTCATTTTCTTTTTCAATAATATGCCTAGAACACTGCTTCCATAGGTCTG